TACTAAAGTTTTAGTAGAGTTCTCGATACTCTACTCGACCTACTATTAGGTTTAGTACTACTCCCGATACTCTACTCTACTAAACCTTTAGTACGACTGTCGATACTCTACTCAAAATACTCTACTCTACTAAACACACCCTTGGAACTTTTCGAAATTTACATTTCGATATTTCGATATCGATACGATAAATCGGAAATCCATAAATACCCCCACGGAACCCCCGATGTTCCACACGGAACCCCCACAGATGCACACCACACAGCAACACACGTGTTGCCGCCTATGGAAAGAATTACCATACATATTTTTTAATGCTGTTAGTACAAACCTCGAATCACATCCCGAGGCAGTCTTTCCGCGAGGGACTTTTAGTCAATGGCTACAACTCTCGCTGTAGTGCTGATCCCAAATCGTGCACATCATCTATGCGTTGGCCACATGTAAAAACGCACACACAAACCAATTTTTGTTAGGTTTGGTTGTGGTAGGTATTCAGCAAACACGTTTAGTTCCGTTGCGTGCTTCCATGACTTGGACTTCTATGATATTTTCGGAGGTAGACGCATGATCGTTCTGGGGGCCTCTCTGCTGACTACGTGAGTTTAGACTTGAATATGGGCCGACTTTCGCAGGCCAACTGCGGTCGCTGCAGTGGAGATCCCTATTTGTGCACATCATGCATTCGTTCTATGGTCTTTTCTCTCTACTATTGGCCAAGTATCGGCCGAATCGGGGGACCGTAGTGTTTCCGCAAACCTAGGTGAAAGTTGCCGCACAAGAGCTGAAAAGGTTGCGCGCAGCAGCAGAAAGCTGGTTGAACTCAGATATAATCATGAGGCATTTCTCGCGTCCAAAGCAAAGTCAAAGGATGAAAACAGCTTTCCGGTGGAGGGTGTGACCTGCTTCAGGTGCCCATGTACTTTTGTGGCACACCGAGGTCTGTGTGAGGAGCACGAGGTGGTGAAAGAACTGGGCTCAGCCATGCCCTAGCTGGGAGGGTGCACTCATTGTCTTGCATGCCGTAGTCGTTAGACCATTGACCTCGCATCCCTACAAAGCCGGGACGGAGCACGCCGGGTTTCCACCGGACCAGGCTCTCACATCACCAAGCGCGAAGCGCCGTGAGGTATTCGGCGAGTCTCATGAAGGGTGCGCTGCATCCTGCTAAGGGTGTTCGGCATCTTGTTCTTCTTCCTTGCGTACGGATGACAGCTGCGAACGACTTAATGTATTTTTTGGTGCTTTCACTTCCAGAGCAGTTGAAAGCGCTGTGTAACTGCCTCGAGGGTGCTTGACCAGTTTAAGACAACGTGATGCGATCATCCCCCTTGCGCAGAGTGAGGGATCTCCACCCCACACAACATACTCTACTCGACGATCATAAGCAGAAAAATAAAAAAAAGGCAAAAACATAAAGGCCGTAACATGGTTGCCAAGCTCACCATGTGGTCGGCTTGTTTAACAACATCGCTGCCAAGCCACGAAAACCCAACCCCGAAGGCAAAACACCCGGAGGGGGGGGG